CCTCTCGCTCTTTCTCTTTCTTCCTCTCTTTCTCTCTCTCTCTCTCTCTCTCCCCCTATCCTCCTCACTCCCGCCTCTTATTTCTTGCCTTTCTTACCGCGGTCGATCACTCCATTATTCATTCTTTTCTCATCTCGTAAGGCAACTTTCTCTGTCTTTTTACCGATGAGGATGTCCGACCACCCTTGGGACGAAATTTCAAAAATTCTTTTATCTCTTTAAATATTCCGTCGATCCTTTATTATCCTTTATTATCATCTTTCTATATTAAAGCAAAGCTGCATTGTTATGAAGCATTATAAAAGCGCTTAAGTTTTACTTCGCAATGGCCACATTATAATAATAGGCGAAAATCCCTCTTCGCTCCTTCTAGCAAAAATGAAGTTTTAAATATTTTTCAATGACATTCATTCTGATATATTTATTTAATTTTCTTAATACATGAATTTCCCATAACTTTAATGTCTCCACGACTTAAGAGTAGTATCTAAATAGTTTTTTTTTCTTTTTTTTCAACATATTTACAATAGAATGAATGGTACTTTGAAAATTCTATTACATCGTTCGTAAAAACATAATTAAAAAGCATTTGAAGGGGTTTTGAACGGTTTTTAAAAATACTTGTCGGAATTTGCTGCAACTCTGCTTCATTCAATGTAGTGTCATTTGTTTTAAAATTGATTTACCTAACACTGAATCAACTAATAATAATAATAATAATAATAATAATAATAGTAATAATAATAATAATAATAATAATAATAATAATAATAATAATAATAAATTAATTTTACTATACCCTGTTTTTCTATGCCGTAATCGTTAGTCTGATTCGATTTTATAATTTCTATTATGCCTGCCTATTTTTAATATAATCTGCGAATAAGACTAGAAATTATCGAAGCATTTCAAATTTGCAGATATTTTCTTAATGCATTAGCCAATGATTTTTATATTATATTCATTCGTTATAAAGTCCTTAAATAATTTAAAGATTTTGAATAAAAAATAAAAAAAAAATTTCTTAATATCCCGTACTGATTCTTATGGATGTCAATTGTTTCATTATTCACGTATAATATCATGTTTTCTTTGTTTGCAGTATAACAATGTATACTTGAGGATTTATTCAGATATTTAAGAAGATAGTAATTTTTATTTTAGATGAACATTCTGCCTGATGCAATATTGTTTTATATTATAAAATTAATTATAATAAATTGTTCTGACAATATCATTTGTTCTTTTTCCAGTTTCAGTTGCTTTTATTATTATGCTGACCGTATTATACTTCGCATCCTTCATTTCTGTTTTCTTCGATCTTGTCGAATTGATTTTTGTTAAAATTGTTAAAATTGCTAAAACATGTAAAAAGTCAGCAACGAACATAATATGAAACGAGTATCCAGTTCGTGAAAAGGGGAAAAACAATTGATATAATGGGTAATAAAGGAATGAAGAAATCGAACTAATGCATACCTTTATATATACATGTAATCATTCATTATTATCTTAAAAGAACAAATAAAGAACAACAATCCGGGTAAACAGGTTTTCTTGATTTGAGAAAACTTATAACGGCGATGAATGGAAAATTTTAATGCTATGTCTCCGGAAAAATCACGTCAGAATACTGCAATATAGAGGTATACGTGCATGTACCTCTTCTCTCTCTCTCTCTCTCTCTCTCTCTCTCTCTCTCTCTCTCTCTCTCTCTACACGAGATGAAAAATGAAGAACAAAATAATGCCAAACTGCTTTTAAGGCTTTAACTTCCTTTCATTGCCGTCTCTTAACTGAATATAGTCCTGAAACTTCCTTTCATTTTATGTTTCGCCTTTGTTCGATATTTACTTCGTGAGCGTGAATTGCTGTTTTCGTGAAAGTCGCGGATTGCTTACCTTTTTATGACCAAATACCTTCAAGTTTATTTATTTATTTTATTATTATTATTGTTGTTGTTTATGGCTAGAGACTGCTGATTTTGACAAATGAATGCTCGAAACAATGTCTTACGGGCTCATTCCCAAAAGTTTATTGTACAAGCAATCTATAACAAGCGTAAGTTTGCTGATGCTAAAAAGAATTATTATTTATTGTATTATAACGGCCTTTATTTACACTAGCCACACAATTAATGTATTTAAAAAAAAAAAAAAATTCTTAATAAAGTGACTAGATAACACTTAATAAATATATAGCTTATTAATACTTTAAAAATCATAACGAACCTTTTTCATGTAATAAACTTTTACACGTCTAGTCTATTGGTATTATATATATATATATATATATATATATATATATATATTACTCCTAATTATTAAATAGACAAGTCGATCGCGGTTTTAAATTCAATATAATATCATAGTAAGATATTGCACAAGAAATTTCATTTTGTTAAAAGAAACTAAGCCATTATTAATAGTGCAAAAAGTAAAAAAATGACAAACCCAGTGAATGGATAAAAAAGTTGTCATAGTCTCGTGTATGGTTTAATTATTTTTCAGACAAAGCAAATTAAGATACAACGACAGCGATAGTACTTTTATTGCATCGTCGATACAAAATTTTCACTCATTATGAAATATTTATGATAATTCTAAATTTAAAGACTCTTCAGAGATAATTTTACTAGACGTCAAATTATAATGTTTGCCTACAGCATTGAGTGAATAAATTAAAAAGTATATGTTAATTGTTCTTAATCCGAGGATTAAAGCTTCAAAGAGAATAATTAATATCTTCGGTGCATTACTAAGCACTACAAGACAAATTATAACATAGCGAACGAAAGCATCGATTAATGAGCGATTTCGGTCCTCCAATAAAACCCCAAAATGTCTTATTTATTTTATTAATAATAATGACGTCATAGTAAGGCACAATTTACAAGCTGCATTTAAAAATAGAATGCCATTAAAAAACTAACTGGAACGCTATTACCTCAATCGTGGCCAATAACCTCGGCTCGAGAATTCATTAAATGCGCAGCATTATTACTCGTCTATATGGGCAATTTGAAATTTATCGATAATGTAATATATGTAATATGTATTTACGGACGATGAAATCGATGGAATCGATGGCACGGGAATCCAATGGTGAGTGCGAGTTTCTCCGAGCGCAAGCCATTGCACCGGATGCACGCCCGTGACCCTCGATCTCTCTCGCAGGTCATTCTCTTTCAAATCTACTCGAGTTACTTTAGAGTAGTCGCGTGCATGCTGTATGACGTAACGACGTAAGAGAATCCGCGGCTCGGAAACAAAAGGACGGTGCAAGACTTTTGGCGCGCATCTATTTTTAAAGCCAATGCATGGGTGCAGCTGCGAATGCAAAATGCCTTTCTTATCTAGCGAGGTTTGCCGAGCTACTCCTTACTTTCCTTATTGGCAAATCAATTTTACCATAAATATCAGCATTATATTTCTTATTTAGGGATTCGTTCGTAGCTCGACACTTTGGCACCGATTTTCTTTCAATATTTTCATCTAACTATGTGGTTACCGTCATATTTGCTGTTCTAACAGCAACATGTATTATTCGTTCTCTCGGTAAAAGTAATTTTTTTTTAAATGCATATTACATATCCCATGAATTATATTTTGTTGTGGAAAACATTGTTATTTTAATGCTGTCCTTATGTCGAGGAGAATATAGACTTTTGTGAATTGTTCGTAACGCTACAACTTGTATTACATATATTTTAAGAAATGTTTGCTGTCATAAATAGCATACTTTACAATAATATATAGCTGCATTTAAGCGGATAATTTGTTTTTCGATTACAAGACATTCAAAGGAAACATTGTTTCCTCTTAATATAGTATACGTTTTGTTGAATAATAATTATGGAATAGCATATTTAAAATTTA